GTAGGGCGAGTGCGGCGAGCCGGGCGGGAGCGTGGGCCGGGCCTGCGCTTCTCCTCAGCGGCCGCCTCAGAGGGGCTGGGCGGGCGCCGCCGCAGGCGGAAAGTAAGTTGCGCGCTCGGCCCGGGGCGCCCAGCGCGGAGGACGCGGCCCGCGGCGCCACCCCGGCCCCGAGCTCCCACCCCGGGCCTGCGGGCCTCGCGCGGTCCGGCCCTGCCCTTGCGGCCGCCGCGGGATTGCGGCAGCATGGGAGTCGTCGCCGCGCCCGCTGCGGGCCCCGGGCGGCACGGGCTCCGCGGGCCTCAGTTTCCCCGTGGGCCTCGGGGTCCGGCTGCTGCGCCGAGCGGCCGCCCCGCCTCACGCTGGCAAGGGGACGCGGTTGTCGGTGGCGAAGGGCGCCGGGCTGCGGAAGGGGCAGTAGTGCGGCTCCCCGGGGACTGCGAGGATTTTTTTTTTTTTCGGGTTGGGAGACGCCGTTCTTTTCCATAGACATCGCCTGTTGATTTCTTTCCGAAGCATTTAAAATAAAAAAACAAACACCTTGCTGCCTTTTGCTTGGACTCGGGAACCAGGAAAGTGGCAACCCTTTATGCTTAGGCTTGGTCTAGCTGTTGTGTTATTCTTAACAGTCGGATCAGCTACAGTCTAGGAGCTTCGCTGTGAGTTCGGGTCAGGTGCGCATTGGAGGACAATTTAGCTTCAGGGTTCCTAAGACTGGAAGTCAAGGGATGTCGGGTCTCTCGGTCTGGTTTCTTACTTTCCCTTCCATTTAGGTGAGCGTATTCTCCAAGTCCGGGGAGCCTTGGTGAAGCCCCTCAGGGCTGAAGCGTCTTGTGAGGTTTAAGGTGAAAAGTGTGATGGACCTACAGGTGTAAGGCTCCCTCTGCAGGACCCCCCCCCCCCCCCGCCCCCCAGGTTCCTGTCCAACATCAAAAGGCTCAGTTTGGATTCTTTGTGGGGACTGGGACACTGTCCCAAATCGGTCCTCAACTTATCACTGTACCCATCAGTGTATTGGACGTCCAGGTTGTCACGTATTATGTAATCAGCTTGTTAATTTCCAATCTTGTTACAGTCCCTTTCCACATTTATAAAACCATTCCCTTCAGAAAAATCTGTCTTCAGCGTCTGCTTAAATATTTCTCTCGGAATTGGGTTCTTGAAGTGGAATGTTCTGTGCGTGTGTAGTGATTGGAACGTACTAATTAGACAAGTTTCTTTGAGAGAACACCAAATACATAGCAGTTCTTCTATCTGTCGTGTAAAATTGACCCATTGTACAGAACTAGGAATGAAAGAAGTTGCAGGACATTCCCAAGGTCACACACTGAAGCTGAGTGAAAAGTCCGGAGCACAGCGAGGACTTCCCACCTTCAGGGCTCTCGGATCGGGAACTCTCCGTGCTGCTCTGGGTCTTTAAAGTTTTGCACAGCCAGCCATTGTTTTACGTTCGGCACAAAATTTTCTCTCACCCTGTTAGGAAATTTTTATATCGTTCTGAGTAAATTTTAATGAATGATTGCAGTATGACACCTTAGTTTAAACAACGTTCCTGACGCTACAACCCTTTAATACAGTTCCTCGCGTTGTGGTGGCCCCAGCCATAAAATTATTTTTGTTGCTACTTCCTAACTGTGATTTTCTACTGTTGAGAGTCGTAATGTGAATTCTGTGTTAAACAGTGGTCTTAGGTGACCCAATGAAAGGAGTGTTCAACTCCCAAAAGGTCACGACCCGCAGGTTGAGAACCGGAGGTTTAGAATATCTAAAAACTCAAAAGTTGTATTAATTTTTATTTTTTTACTTTTGTGGGCCAGTCTTATTCAGTGATCATGTGCCTTTAATAACATAATCCTAAAAGGAAGCCTTTAAAATGTCTTCTAGTTAAAGTTGAAGGGCATTTACGTTGTTTTTGCCAGACACGTCCACACCAGTGAGGGTGCTTCCCTCATGTTGAAAGTGAAACTAAATAGAAAATGGTAATTTTGGGGAGATACTGAGTGGCTATGGTTCTAACCACTGACATTAAAATGTCTTCCCTATTGCACCTTCCTGGGCACTGATGGGCTCATTGCACTGTCTAGGCTGAAAAGGGGACCAACGGCCTGAATTTTCTGACTTAAGCACATAGGTGAGAGATACTAACGGCCTAATTTGCAGCGTCTCAGCTACAAACAAGAGTTTTTAGCTGAGATGTTTCTGTAAGAAAATAATTCAGCACCAAGTAGTACTGGTACTTCGGAGTCAGAGGAGGAGGGGCCAAAGTTCAGGTCCAGCCTAGGCTGCACAGTGAGTGTGACTTCTCAAGAACAAAAGAGCGTGTAACAGACACACGTAATCCCACACTTGGGAGGCTGAGATAGGAGGATCATGAGTTTGGCTGGCATAGGTTTCTTAGCAGGTGCCACCACAGTGAGACCGTTCTGTCTGTTTAGAATGCAGGGGCTCCCCATTATGTGCAGTAGATTTGGGAGGACAAGCCTTACTTTGACCATGTGTTCCTGGGTCTTTATCTGCTTAGGAGGCCGTTTCTGCTCTTAGGTACCAGACACTGTTGTGGAACAACAAGGTAAACCAACAGTGGGGTTGCTCTTGACAGGAGTTTGACAGCTGCACAGAGCATCCTGAACAGTAGGGGGTGCTCCTCACAGAAGGCTGAGGAAGAGGCCAGTTGTGAGAGAACTCAGACTGAGTGTGTAGAAGGGAGTCGACGCAGACACAACACAACTGCACATTCTTCAAAGCATTTGTTGAGGAAGGAGGGCATGCCACCAGCTTGGGGTATATTTGCTTTTTGTTATGGTTTGGGAAGAGCCACGCTGTCATATCCGTGAGCACTGGAAGTGTGGTCTGCTTGGGATGGACTGGATCTACACTGTTATTTTCACAGAATCATTTCCTCATTGGCTTTTCTGCACATCTGTTTTGGGTTGTGGCCTTGTACCCCCTGGGAAACCATTTCTTGCCATTGGTAGGAGAGAACCTGCGTCCTGAACGCTCATCTCTTCATTGTCACTTTGAGAACCTCCTAAGAATTGGCATTGGCACCTCCAGAATTTGCCCTGTGCTCACCTAGGCTCTTGTGTGCGAATCAGGCCTCTGTCCCTTTCTAGGACTGAGACCCTCAGGGTGCTGCTGATAGCAGCTCAGCCCAGGCAACTCCGTGACGGGGCATGATCTGTCCATGGGACACGATGCAGTAAGTGTCCCCAGATGCAAAGTGAGAGGGTCCATCCATTTCTGTTCATCTGTCCGTCGCAGGTTTGCCTGAACCATTGCTGGGTGTGAAGTTAGCAGTCTGAAGCATTGACTACATATGGTAATTGGTCAGATCACAGCCTCAGTGGGCCTGATTTTCTCAGTTGTTGGCATGTGGTTATTTTGCTTTGGTCTTTATATCCCCAGGTTGGGAGTCATGCCTGATACAGTATGTGCACTCAAGAAGTGTCCTGGTCAATTAAAATGACTTTCATAAGCCTATTAATTCAAACACGCTTGTTTGAATATGGTTAGACTGGATTTTACTTGCTTTTCAGTCTTATAGTTTTGGAGCTAGAAGGAAATCTTCCACTCTGCCGGCATGTGTAGATGCTGGCACCACCTCATCCCACGTGTCTTCTGCCTTGCCTCTGAGCACTGTGCTCCTGGGTTCTGTCTCTGTGAGCCTCTTGTTCCGTCCCTGCCATCACTGTCCAGATGCTGGCACTCCGTTTCAAGCCATCGGTAATAATTACCTGGAGACATTTCTAGTAGTCTTCTTCGCTGTTTCCCAGCTCAGTTTTGCCCTTCTAGTTGTATCTTCATTTTGCACCTGGACTAATTCTGAAGCTATCATCTCATTGCTGTTCCTTCACCCAAGACTCCTTTGACAGCTCATGTCTGTTCTCGTTTGTTCATGTAATAAAGCGAGTCGGTATCTTTGGGTGGATACTACACCTAACAGTTACTGTAGGTACAGATACTTTGCCTGGGTACAGAACTGAGTAAAACACATATAATTAGTACCTAGTCAGTGAGGATGCAGATTAATGACTACATAGCCATACAAATTTGTGACACACAGTTGTGATGATGATGGATGTTGTCTGTGAGTGTGTATAGGGAGCTAGTGTGTGACGGGGTAGGGACCTTTAAGCTGGCGGTAAAGCATGAATTAGGGCTAACCAGAGCTGAGAAAAAGATAATTTGGTACCCAGCCCTTTGGATCTGTGTTCTGCTTGTGATAAGTGTACCATCACAGCAAGCTCTCTCAGGTATCTTTCTGAAAGCCTCTTTCCCACATCACGGTTTTAGTTTTTAGCTCAAGTACAGCAGATTTCTCTGGGATGCCTTCTGTGAACCCACCAATTATTTTTATTATTATTTTATGTCTTCCCCTGCAAGAGGCTGTAAACGGCCTGAGGCAGAGATCTTCCAGGTTGGTGTCCCGGAGAGTTGTTTAGGGGTAGTTTGTTGTGGTTACTATGGAGTTTAACAGTAGGTTAGGGAACTAACTTTACAGTCCTCCTTAGAGAAGAAGCTGAGAAGTGGGAGGGGATCCTTGGGTGGCTCAGATCCCTCTCACACCCTGTTACTGTGCTAGTTTGGAGAACTGTCCAGGTGGGGACTTGGCCATGTAGACAGTGTTGGGTGAACTGCATAGTTAGCAGATATCCCTAAAGTGAACCTGTGGAGACGGCAGGAAGGAAGACCTTACCAAGTGACACTTTGAAATATGGAATCTTAAACCCACTGCCAGCTCCTTGTCTGTGCACTTTTGTGTTGTCTTTGCTCACTGTGTGGCTAGCTGGGGGTAAGGTAAGGTCGAGTGATCTGTGGGATTGGCTCACCATCTGACGTGTTGTTCTGTGTTGGGGAGGGTGGAGTTTAGGTTTTTTAGGATGACTTGTCTGTGAAAGTTCATTTTGGATCTAGGACAGTGTGCGAACGTGTTCTTAGGTAGGTGTGATGCTGTATTGTAGAGAATTGTGGATCTCTAATGATCATGTGCAGCACAAAGAAGA